TGACACTGCATCTTCATCAGGATGTACGATTAATGAGCCCCCCACCCAAACTCCAACTGCCATTCTGTTTAAGGTGTTAAAATCAGATTTCCTGCACCTGTTTCTGGTTTCAGGATAAAGGCCAAATGTATTGAAATGGGTTGATTGACAGAGAATCTCAGAGTGCCACACTAACTAACTAACCTTTTTCCTCTCAGGGAGATCTGTAAGGAGTTTGTGGACCTGATGTCCCAGGACCGCTCTCCACTGGGCGGCAGTCGACCCACCCCCTGCCTGGAGCCCGGCGTCCAGGGAAGCCTCACCCACTTCAGCCTGCTCACCCACGGCTTCGGTACTCCCGCCATCTGCGCCGCGCTCTCCGCCTTCCAGAGCTACCTGATGGAGGCGATCAAAATGCTGGACAAAGGAGAGGGGGGAGGCAAGAGCCACCACGACAAGGAGATGAAGCACCGCAAATAAGAGGGAGGACGGACAGATGTGTTGATGGATGGACGGACGGACGGATGAGAGGCAGGAAGGAAGAGAAAAGAGGGGAGGGAAAAAGACTGACCGGTGCCCCTCTGCGTCTTTACCTTCGCCCTCAGGATAAAAACTGAGACTTTTTACCTCCCAGAAACCCCTGCGGCCCCTCTCGTCGAGGAAGTCGGGGGTTCATGATGATATCTGTACTGTAATGTGTGTCCACAACCACCTCACTTCAAAATGACGCATGGACCTCTCTTCTCAGTAGCCGGTGTGTGTCATGATGGCGTCTACAAAAGCTCTTCAGGATGAGTTCCTACATATGCTTTTTATTTATTCCCCCCACCTCCTACCCCCCTTTTTTAATTTTATTTTGGTAAAAAAAAAAAACGTCACTTTTATCTGTGTTTTAGAAAACCCCTGCCTTCATTCACACTCTCACACTTATACACATTTTTGGACTGAACTCATCTGGGAAGTGTTGTAAGCCATATCCGAGACAACAACCTGCTCTTTGCTCCTTTGGACCTTTGGGAGACTTTTAACTCCACTCTGATTGGACGAGCACAGCTTCCATATGTAGTTCTTCTTAATTGGTGGTCATGGGAAATTGAGTTCTCTGGGTTCTCTAGCGGTGAGGTAAGGAGGAGTCAAAGGCAGCTAAAGGAGAATTGTTTTCTTTTATTTTGAAGTACTGCGTGTTGGTAACTTAAGAAAATAACACAAATCATTTTGTACTTTCTGTGTATGTTTATTATTAATGTTATTACTGTTGTTATTATTATTGTATTACGGCATAAATGTAATATATTATTAAACAATTAAGAATGGATCGGTTGAGTTTCACGAGTATGTTTTTATGTTTTGATCTTTGATATCAGAACAATAAAAAGTAATGGCACCTTCAGGTACCTTTAAAAACAACTGCCCACTTCCACTTACTTTTAAATTCAAAGGTTTTTATGGTGCTTTTCTCTTTCCTTTAGTCTCAATAATGATATTTTTTATTGATCCCTGTGGGCAAAGTCTACTGTCTACGGTTATAGACGCATGCAATTAATACTTAATGTCCATTATTGATCGATCTGTCGATTTATTTTATGTTTTTGGTGATTATTTGCTTATTCTATAAAATAATGAAACATGTCTGTTACAGTTTCCCAGAACCCAAAGTGATGATTTCAGTTTGCCTGTTTTATCTGGCCAACAGTCCAAAACCAAAAGAGTTTCAATCTACAATGATATTAAACAGACTTTTTTCTGGTTTTTAGATGTTGGTACAGAAATGAATGTTCCCTTAAAGGTGAATTGTAATAACTTTTCATCTGGCAGCATCATCAGGTCAAACTTATAATTTGTCGTATTATTTGTTTCATGATCAAATACCTGGAAAAAAAGAGCCCAAATCAGTCTCAGCTGTACTTACTAAACTAAGATAGTGAATATGTAGAGGTAGTTAACTAGCATTTTGCTAACATTAGCTGACTTAAGATGTGACTATATATGTGTAGAGGAGCCTAGCACATAATATATCTCAGTAGAGGAAAGGAGAAAGTTGACCCAGGTTAGGAAGGGGGCAGGACGTAGGAACGGTCAATTGTTTTAATTAATTGAATTTAATTGTTGTGCTTAAGGGCGTTTAACAACTCCAGCCTGGTTTTAGTAGCACATACGTGTATCATGCTCAAGAAAATTTTGTTTTACACTCCAAGGGGCCTCTTAAAAAATAAAATAAAATCAGGGCCCCGCTATGCATGCAGGGGCCCAGGGAGACGGTGGCATCACAGCTGCAGCCCTGAACACTGTGCCTGGGAGAGCAGAGGCAGCGGTGCGACCCCCCAGCGCCCAACAAACCACACACACACACACACACACACACACACACACACACACACACACACACACACACACCTTGGTTCCCCCTCAATCCATCTGTTCTGCATTTCTCCCACCGACCACCTCTCACCTCCCCTGCACAGTCCTTCGCTTTATTTAACCAGGATGAGATACTCAACACAATTACTGCTTTCCAGGGACTGTGCACATACACGTGTCGCCTGCTCGTACACTCTCAAACATCACTCATGTCTACCTGCCGTATGTCCCTTTCTCTCCTCCCATCTCATTACCCTCCTGTGTCAATTCCCCCCTCATCCCCTTCATCTCCCTCTCTTGTAACCTAACTCCCAACCCCTCCTCTTCCTCCTCACCCTCCCCTCCTCTCCCCTATTCTCTCCCTCTATCTGACACTCAGCGGGGCCGCTCTCCATCTCTCTCTGTGCCTCCAGGCAAACATATGCTGCTCTTCCCGTCAGATTCCGGTGTGTTTGAGAGAGGAGGGATTGTTTAATGTTTATTAATCACCTGTCTGCGGTGGAGAGAGGAGACGAAGATAGAGCCACACACACACACACACTGTGTCTCTCTCTCTCTCGTACACACACAGCTGTCTCGCTCACACATACTCACATACTCTCATTCAGTAGTGATGTTACCAACTTGGCCTGGTTTTCTTTCCGTTTACAGCTGTATATAAAGTGTGCTCATTTACTGTAACACTCCCTGTGTACTGTCAAAATGTATTTATTTCAGCTCCTACTCTTTAGCAAATCATTACGTTTTATTTATTTATTTATTTATTTATTTTACGAACATCGACCTACAGGCCCATTCTTGAGCTTATAATTTGAAACCAATTTCAGGAACAAAGACATTTAAAGTGTTAAATTCCTGCACACTCTACTTGAAACACCAGCTCGTACATCATGCAGCCTGTGGCTCTCTAGCATCAAGATCCCTGATAAAAAAGGTCTTGAATGAATGTTGCATTTTCAATCTTCTTAGTGCAGACGAGCAGTGGCGGACTCAGGCTGTCTGAGGCAGCGGGGTGAAAAAATACAAAGGGTACCAGCTGCACGAGGTGGGGCGGAAGTCTACCAGTGCCGACGGCGTGCAGGAATTCTGTCTTTTTGATTATTTAAACATACAATATGAAGACAAAAAGACTGAAGTGTGGGGACTGTGAAGTAGCATGGGATCATGGGTGATGTTGCAGAGGTCTCCTCCCCTCCGAAACAAACGAAAACCGCTGATTAAAACCAGTAAAAACACTGAATAAAGCAGTTTCACCTTAAAAAATCAGTGTTTCCCTGACGCTGTTTTGGCAGACAAAGGGCGTCCTGAAGGGGCTGCGAGCCGAGCTGCTGCTAACTTTAGCTCAGCTTGTTTCTCTGATAACTTAAGATCCAGACATCCGATGATTAAAATCCTTTAAATGGTTAGTTAAAAGTATGTGATTAAAACAACCAAGATATAAAAACTTATTTCAACCAGTGCATTAGATATTATTTAAGATTTGTTTTGTTTTTTTTATACACTTGCACCCTGATGGTGAGACGTTCCTGGCTAAGTTTAAAAAGACTTATTTTTCAAGTCGACACATCACACTTTTACATAAAGTAACATTGGAAACGAGCACATTAATTGGCTAGTTTTGTTTTTATCCTTGAGCATATGACGAAACAATGAAGTGTGGCGCAATAATTAAGTTTAAAATATTGTTCTTTCATTATATTCTATCTTCTAAACAAATTGTGACATAAATCACATATATTTAACACACATTTGAAGCAGACAAAAATAAATAAATAGATCCACTAAGTAGCCTAACGGGCGATCGTGTAACTATATCAAATTCATATTGCTCTCCACAGAGGGTCAAAGAACTTGTAACTGGACCTCGAGTTAGTAGGATGATGTAGCCGACAGGAAATATTTCACTCTGGTTTCCTTTCCAGAGTTAGTGTGAGTGAGGGGTTACAGCTCAAATGTATTTAAATTCAAGGCGTGTTGTGTGTTGGTTGGTGGTGAAATAAACAGAGTACGCTATTAAAAAACATAAATATATATATTTCCTGAAGCCTTTCCTGGATTTGTTTCTGACAACCTCGCTTCAATCAGGACACCTGTAACCCGACTCATTAGTTCTGCAGCTGGTGCCAACTTTGTTGCGGGTGATGTTTATTAATTTACTGACACCGCGTCTGAGAGGTGTTGATACAACAACCTGGCCGTTTTTGTTCCGTTTTAATTTACTACAAGACTTCACTGCTATTATTAACTTCAGGGCAGATTTTAGCTAGTTGTGAACATATAGCAGCTAGCATTTGTTCATTTATACACTGAATCAAATTCATAAAATCCCACAGCATTTACAGAAGCATCTGTAACTGTTTAAACTAAACATATTTTAACTTTACAGTAAATACTATCAATATGTATATCTATGTAGTTCGGTCATTCAGGGAACTTAACAAAAATCCATATAAAAACTACTTTTCCTTTTTTTTTTTTTTAACTTACACCATTATGTGCATGCGTGTTTTATTACACGTGTACAAGCATGAGCAAGTGTACATTACCCAAGCACACACTCACTGAGTACAAGTGCAAAAGTACACAGCCAGAAGGCTGTTCTCTTTCTATGTGCAGATGAGTAGACTAGAGAGCAATGAGAAAGCACCACAGGGACAAAGAGCTTGTATCTCAACTGTGTGTCACTTTTTATTGGAACAGAAAGAGCAAGGAGGTCAACAGTACAAAAAAAAAAAAAAGAAGAGAGGAACGAGGGCGCGAGGGTTGGTAGTTAAGCAGTGAGCGGTCACTTGGCGCCAGCGGTGAGCTTCTCCAGGTCATGGATGCCCTCCTTGTCAATCAAGCGGACGGTGAAGGAGTGAAGGTTCAGGATGAAGCGCTTCCTCAGCTGGAGGAGGGAGAAAGAGACACCACAGAGATTAAATTAAAAGGCTCAAAAAAGCTAAATTAATATAGAATCAAGTAAAACTGAAACAGAAAGATAAAGAAGGAGAAGCCGTCATAAAATGTGGGATACTGACTGTTGAGGTTAAAGGCTTATCCACATAAAGTGTTTTTAAAAGCGTTTTGACGCCTGTCACTCGCTTCCCTTTTATCAAATGGATCAATCCACAATGACTCTGAGACGCCACAGGACCCCCCACGTTTTATTTCCCGCTCAGTCTATTGTATTTTTCCTCTGGCGTGTAGTGAAGCGTAATCTCCACAGACAGCTGTTTAAATCACACAAACCTCCCGCTGTTTATATGTTGCGAACTTATTAGCAGTATCTGTAAATGACTGATCAAGGCTCCCAGTTTGGCTGTGTGCTTGCCGTTTGCACTGTAGGCAGATTCCTATAACATTAGTGAATCAATAAGTAAGAACAATGTTGATTTCTTCCCGTTGGAGCCTATATGAAAACTTAAATTTCTGCTGTCAGTCAGCCTGGTGAAGACAGTTCGGCCTGGCAGCTGTCCTCTCAGCTCCTGAACGGAGGTCGGAGTCTGTGTGGATTGAAAGCTGCGAGAGCACTTAAGTGCTGCTCACGTCTAACTTTTGATGTGGATTCCCAGTAATAAGAGTAAAAATTAGAGAGACTTTTTTTCAAGTTCACTTAAGACATTGATAAATGTTGGCCACTTTTGCAGAGCTATGTCGCCATCTGAGAGACCTTTTCCACCTCTGTTTCCGATTGAAGCACCTAGTTTTAAACTGTTAGGAGCATTTTCGACCGAAGAACTCGAAAACTTGATTCCCAACTGGAACCAAAAAACAGTAGGTTTGAGTTGAATAAAGATGTTTGAATGAATGAGTAAAAACTTCTTGAACTCACTTCCTCAACGCACTTCTTCAGCAGATCCAACGCCTCATCTCGGGTCAGATCTAGAACACAAAACTCGAGAACATGAGAATGCTGAATCAGGAGAAAAGGGGAATGATGGAGACACAAATTATATTAAATTAAAAGTGGATTAACAGAAGTATGTGGATGTTGCAGTGTGGTATTGTGGAGAACGGGCTCATGAGGAGCAAAATCCACTCTTGTGAAGAAGAATAAGAGTTAATTGCAACAAAAATTTGGTGCTTTATCTGAGATATTTTCACTACAAGCCTCCACGGAGATAAACAAATTGTCGTCTTTTTTCTAGTGTAATTATTCACCATTACGTTAAATCATTTTATTTAACAAGACCCCCCCCCGTATCGCGACCAAAGTGTGAATTAACTCCACAACCTCTGCAGTACATGCTCCGACTGACTCGAATCATATTCTTTATTTCTCTCTCTCTCGTCTTTCCAGTACCTCTCGCGGGAACAATAAACAGAAAAAACATGCGTGGGGCATTTCTCTGCGCTGACCTGGTCTGTAGTGCCGGTCGAGGATGGAGAGAGTGAGGAAGGCTCCGTAGCCGTGGGCAGCGAAGGGGGCCTTGGCCAGGGAAGACAGGTAGTCCATGTAGTAGAGACCTGGACCGTCTGCGTCATCGTAGCCCGCCAGCAACAGGTTCACATGATATGGAGTCTGGATACAGAGGAGAGAGAGAGAGAGAGTGGAGGATTAATATTCAGATCTAGAAGAGGGGTTTTATAGGAGGTGTCAGTCTGGGATGCACACTTATTAAATTCTATGTTACTGTTGGACAGTTCTCACCAAACTGTTTGTTCAACCACCAGAATTGGGCTTATAATCCATTTTCTGTATCAGACAGAGATTCAGAAATGTTGATATAAAACCCAAGCAATGCTTCTTAACTGCTCTGGAAAAGATGTTTAGGTACGAATTAGAAAAGCACTGACGCAACAACATACTGTCGGCATCAGCCTTCACCCACATTAACCCAAACAGTAGCCTATAATCATTTTATTTTTTCGATTCTAATCCACCACTTTTTGTCAAATTAAGCAAATGCTTTTTGAGAAATGTGTCCTATTGCATGTTCGGTGTGTTCAAGTGTAACTGGAGAAAAGGGACATAAATCAGTAGGCTGTGTTCAGACTTTAGCTCTGCATGAAAACTTCTTATTTGCTCTGGCATAACAACGCTTACTTTGCAACATTAATGCAATATTTCTGCTGTTTACGTCCCGATCATCATGACAAAACATAAAAATGGTTGCCTTTGTGGTAACTTTCCAGAGCTATAAAATCCCATTACAATCTTTAATGTAGTGTTTCGCCGTCTGATAAGCCTTTAAACGCATCAAATGGACTTCCAGGATCTCACCGGTACCTTAAACAATATGCCGCCACCGAAGAAGCCTCCCTGCACCTTTTTTAAGTCAGGGCTGTTTTCGGTCCGAATCAAAAGTTATTTTTTCAGCCTCTGGAAAGCGGGTCCAGTACCACAGAAGTCCGACTGGTTTCAGACTCACCCAACATCACAGAAAGCTGGATTTGTAAACATGAGTATGCTGTGTGTCGTTTACTGTGGCATGATTTCTGCATTTAAATAATAATTTGTAAATAATTCTCTTTAATTGGATGTTGTCGCCACCAGCATTTGTACGGCTACAAGGGCGTCACAGACGATACCTATTCTCACTCATCTGTCCCTCTCAGTAGTTTCATTCACCAGTTCTCAAGATCAAGACACGGAGTGACGCACACAGCGGCAACACAGCATAAACAGGGGTGAGGGAGCACGGGGAGGGCTAGCTGGAGAGTGACAGAGGGAGAGGAAAGGTGAAAGGGCGTCACAGGACAGAGGAGGTGAGTGTGTGTGTGTGAGTGAGAAAGGGGGAACCTGGGTGTCACTGGCAGTGTGACATCTGCTGGGACTCAGCACCCCTGTTGCTCCCTCCATCGCGCCCTCCCTCCTTCTTCATCCCTTCTTTAACTCCCTCCCTCCTCCCCTCTCCACCGCCTTCACCCTGTGCCCTGGAGTAGCGCCAGGGCTCATTAAAAACTTCTAAAGTCGTTTCTCTTGCCCCTTCTTCCTCCCCTCCTCCCCCCTTTCTCTCTTTTTAAATTACATCTTTTACGCTTCCAGCCTCTTCTCCCTTCTCTTCCTCCAAAACACTAATTTTCCCTCTTCGTTGTTGCGAGCCACTGTTCCCCATTTTTCAAAAATCCCTTTAAAGCCAGACAATTTTTCGGATTTCAAAACAACTTATGGCCTAAATTCTTGACGGGGGTAGAAGCGGTGCAGTGTTTTTGATTAAAATGCAACAAGAAAAATATAATACTGCAGACTCTGTCATGCAGCGAGGCAAATATGATTCCATATGACGCCAGGCGAGTTGTCATCTACACACCTGCCCTCTCATTTCAATTTATCTCTCAGCCGACCTGCTTATTCCTGTGACTTGTGTGTTAGCGCTACGCTTGCCACAAGGGCAATGATGATCGTTATGCTCCCTGCAGAGTAGGCTTTAGTCTGTGTGTTAACGATGGTTTTGAGAGCGCACACACACACACACACACACAATTTGTGAGTGTGCACAACAGGCGTGAATCTCAGGATGAATATCTTAGTGTGTGTGTGTGTGTGTGTGTGTGTACTTTAACTCCTCCGTGAGCCTGTGAACACCCCAGTGGCGTCACCCCCACCCACCAGACACCTGTTTCACTGGTTACAATGTAACAATAATATGGACTTGGCATCAAAATAACCTTCCCTTCCCTTCCCATGTCACCTCGGCGGGAACCAGGCACCTTGTTAACCCAGCCACCTGAACTCACACCCAGGTTCACATACAAACAATATACATATGTTTTTTTTTTTTTGGTTTATCCCCCCCCCCATTGTGACTCTCGCTCTCAGCCAGACAAGGCAACCGTTGTGCCACAAAACAAAAGCTTCACCTGCGCGTTGCCAACGTCAGACACAAACCCTGCTCCGCCCGGTTTTTAGTCCGACAATTTGGAAAACATCACTACTGTTTCTTGGCACGCTCCAGAGATTTGTAGCTCGGGCATCTGGTTAGCTTAGCTTAGCACAAAGACTGGAAACAGGGGGAACTGTTAGCCTGGCTATGTCCAGAGATAAGAAATGTTTGCGAAAAAAGATAGCCCCGCCCCACAATGTGACAGTTTCTGTAAGGATTTAACAAACAACTAGACAGAGCTTGTTAATTAAACCGGGATCTGACCATTATTTTCTCGATTAATCGCATCATCAAAACAAAAAAGTATTCAGTTTACTATAAATATATTTATTTATTTATTTTTTTACAAAGAAAAAACAGCAAATTATCGCATTTAAAAAGCTGGAACAAATCTTTGGCATTTTTGCCTGAAAACTGACAACTGATGATCAAAATAGTTGCAGATTAATTTCTATCAGTTGACTAATTGATTAATTGCTGCTCTAGTGTTAATTAGTCAACTTTAGGAGGTGCTTTGCTCGGTTACCACTGAACTGAGCCAGACTAGCTCAGAATCTACCCGTTTCCACTCTTCGTGCTAAGTTAATGGAACTGCCGTCTGGCGGTAGCTTCGTATCTAGTATACAGACATGAGGGGTGTCCAACTTTCTCTTTCTCTGTGAATGAGTGCATTCCCCAAAATGTCACCCGTTTCCTTTAAGACATCGGCAGCGCAGGATTAAGAGCAGCGCCAGATTTAGTTGCGACACAAATTAAGCTCAGGTTGCTAAAAAATCATCCCAAACTCATCCCCGAACTCTCCTCTTCCACGTTCCAGCACTGCTTCCTTCCTTTCCTTCCCTCCCATCGCCTCCCTCCCCCTATTTTTGCACCCTGCCCCGGGGCATGTTCTCTTTATTGGCATTTCTCCTCAATCTGCTGTATTAATTGTTCATCTGTGCAGGAGCAGGGGAGCCATGTGCAATATGGCGCCAGTAATTATTTGTGCCCATTGTGTGCCTGCGCTAAAAAATATCTTACAAACCCATATGGGGCCAGCTGTAGATCACCACAGCACAGAGGCTAACTGTTGCTGCGGCCTTATAGGAGAATCTAAAAACTAACAACTCAAACTTCACTCTCTACAGCAAACAACCACACATGTACAAAAACTGTAAGGCTTTTAAGGCTTCTACATACATCCCCCCTCCTCCAAAAAAAATAATAATCAAATGTGATATTTATAAACCATCTGCCTCCCCTGAGTTTTGCTGTATCAATTTAACCTCATGTCTCAGCCTCCTACACCTGCCAATCCTGCTCAACTTGTTTAACCCCCACACTGCTGTACCTGTCAATTCAACATCAATTTAATCTATATTTATACACAAGTTATTTTATTTCTTTGTGTGCAAATATTACAGCACATCAGACAGGAAACTAAAACAAATAGAGGCAGAGCAGATGCTGAGTTTTCTATGCCCCTAAAACTTTTGCAGTTGTTGTTTTGCTTTGTGGTGAATTTCATGTGTATCATTACTGATATGCATGCAGCAGAGTCAAGGCCTCAGGTGATTATGCTTACCGCTAGTTTTTTTTTTTTTCCTTCTTCTTTGTCTCCTCTCTAAAGCTTGAGTGAATGCAGTACTCCAGAGGTTAGTGGAGTTGTTTTTCTGGACGGCGGGCTGGTAACCACATGGTCGTATGTGAACAGGGTTTTGCTTACTCTGCGCCGACACGCTCTGCTGACTTTAGCTAACTACACCTCCCGGAGGTCTGAGGTCACTGGGGTATGACATCTTTCAGACTAAAAAGGACTCGTCTGTAATTTATCCTGCAGGAATAAGGCCATCAGAATTAACAATATACCACTGATTAATTTATCAGCCAGTGATTTTTAACCTAGGGCTCTGGACATGCCAGTGGGATCACGTGATGATCTTTTTTTTTTTGGGGGGGGGGTCGTAAGATGATTTAAGGATGGTATATTAAAAAAAAAAAAAAAAAAAAGATTTGATACACAAAAGCAGATCATTATCTTTCCTCTCTGTCCGGGCTCAACTTTAATCTGCATTGATTTAATCAGATTAATTAAAATAAATTCCAACATATGCAGCTACTTCCCCAGACAAGAATCGAGCATAGTCCTGGACTACGGGCGTTTTCTCGAAGATTTTACATAAAATTTTGATTTAGTCAACAAATAGGATTAATCTCCATCTCTGAAACCAGCTTGTTGTGTCAAAGTTTATCTTTGTTGTACATGTTTCGTGTAATTGGACATGATCAAAAGTTGGAATTGGAAAAGTGGAATTGCACCATTGTTTATCTTTAATGATTTCTCTTTTTGCTGTCACTAATATTAGCAGGTTAGATTATTATTATTATGGTCAATTTTCCTTGAAAGTACAACAGATGTCTTGATAGAAAATGTGGTTAACTACATTTCATAAAAAGGATCAGGATTATTATTTAAGTCACGTAGAGTTGAAATGATTAGGCGAATTGACTGACAAAAAACATTTTTTTTAAAAGCCAGAAAATTTAATATTTTAGGGTTTTTGGGTCGTTGGTCGGACAAAATAAACAGTTCAAAGATGTGAAACTTTGATGGGGATTTTTTCAAATATTTTCTGACACTTTGTAAAAACCAAACGATGATGAAAATAATGAACAATTAATTGCAGCCCTGAAGTTGTGATGGAGTAATTGTACTAAATGGTTTAAGTAAGAGAGAATTATTATTGACCCAAATACAGGTCGGATTCGTCCAGCTCCTGTTTGTTTGTCCAACGATGTTACTTATAGTTGATATTAAACCATTCAAGACTTTAGCAGACGATTTCTCTCTGTTTCACAATCAAATGGACAACACACATTACATATTCTACATACTCAAGATGTTCTGGGGGAGAAAAAAAAAAAAAAACCTGTTTATACAACATAATTTGCAAATGTCCATGTACTCTGGAGGTTGATGAATGTGAGAAGAGCATAGCTTGAGGAAGGTGTGGGATGCAGACGAGAAACTGCTATTGCTTCAGTTTCTGAGCACTCCTGAGAACGCAGCATTAGTAAATCCTGCACTCATAAAACCAAATTCATCACCGTGAGGCACGAAAATAACGATACACTCGCAGCTTATGGCAAGGCATGAATATAAATGTTATCCTCCACAACATGTACAACCTTGACAGAATGAAACGATCCTGATCCTATAGGTCCCTGTGTGCATGCATATTGTATTTGTGTGTATATGTTGACTCCTACTCGTTCTCACACTCCGGTCTGTGTAGTGTTGTCTACTGGGCCCTGGTTGTTTCCCCCTGGGACCCCCCACTCCTCCTCCTCCTCCTGCTCCTGCTCTACCCCTATCCCCCGTTCGATGTGTCCCACATTCCCTTCTCTGCCACACTAATTGTTTTTTGTAATTATTTTCACCCTTCTGCTATTGTGACAGGCGGCGGCTGCACTACTCTTAACAAATTAGTGCAAGAGACAACGCACGGATACGAGAAGCAGAAGTGACTTCAGCGCAGTGCTTTACATCTAAAAACACATGTAAATAATGAGTTGAGTAACTCATTAGTCAATCAACATAAAATTGATCTGCAACTATTTTCATAATGGATTTATTAAGTACTAATGTAAGGATTTGCTGCTTTTCCAGTCCTATTGTGAAATCAAATCTTTGTATTTTGGACTGTTGGTTAGGGAAAACAATCTATTTAAAGACGTCATCTTGGGCTGTGTGAAATCGTGACGGCTCCTTTTCACTATTCTTCTGATATTTTATGAACTGAACAATTGTTGAATATAGAAAATTGATAACAGACTGATTGACAATGAAAGTAATTGTGTGAGTTGTAGTATGTATCTTTTTAAAAGCACACATGGTAAGCTCAGATTTGCAGAAATGATGCATGACCTGCGTCAACAAACCTCATTACTTTGAGAACAGTTGTAATCATGTTCACAGCACTAAGTATCGAAAGGTTTCAGAAGTTGGTTCTTAAGCTTGTTTACTTATTTTTGTATTCAGGCATTTTAAAATCAGAACCATTTTCCTCACTTTAGATTATATGTTAATTAGTTATTTAACACTGATGCATTAAGTAGTCTGGCATATTTTAAAAGGGTTTGAGAGTTTTTCTCTTCTACAGTCGTTCAAATTATAAATCCCTTTGGAAAAAAAACTAAGTTTTTGGCTATAAAACAACATTTATTTGACTTTATTCAAAACAAGACATTGGTCAATGTTCAATGTGCTCAGTTATGTAATTTGGGGTCTAACTGGAACTAAACTAACCTTAAAAACTTCACCAACCAACATTTAAGTGTAGAGTAGGTACAGTGTTAATGTTCTGTTAATTCAGAGAGTACACCTTGTTTTACTATACAGTACAAATGCACATAAAATCCAGCTCTGGCTTGTGTGTCATCCTCTGCACTGCCTGGTGCAAGAGTGTATATTGCTTCTGTGGGGCTCTCTAGCAAGGCCTCAAGGACACACTCATAATTTCAAAAAGCACCGCATTTTTCAAGACGTGTTCAGCATAAATAAACAAGACAAACAACATGCATACAGATAAATTAGCTGGTTAACTTTCTTGGTTGTAAATGCAAGCTTACCTATGTAAGTAATAATAAAGCTTTTTTTGTTTTGTTTGGTCAAAAGTTTGGTATTGAAGGTCATGTTTTTTTTGTTAATATACCCAGAGGAGTGGGTGGGGGGGGGGGGGGGTTGTTGCAGGCGGCTCAGGTGTTGTCACGAAGTCTCAAAGGAAGAAGCCTCAGTCACCATTCACAACAAGATGACAAATGTGCCTGGCTCTGTCAAAATGCATCTACTGTTTCAGCTCTGATGTCTCCAGCTGATAATGGCACTAACACAGGTGTAATTGCAAGTGAGACTTAATTCCCACCTGAACTTCAGAGTAATGCTACGGCTCTAATGCTACATCACAGCAGTGTCGCGTCATCAAAACAAGCAAGGCCTCTATTGCGTCTGAGTGTTTTAATTTCCTGTTTTAGTCAAATACGAACCACTTCAAGCCCAAATTAAATCACATTTATGGATGAGTAAACCTACCACATATGGTGACTGTCGCTGCCATCTGAAGTGAGTATTACTTCAACTTATGTTAATTAATTTGTGATTCTATCATTCACTCCCTGCAGCAAAATGAGATTGCAAATGCCAACAGTGGAATGTAATTAAGTTAAAATATAAATTAAAATGTTTCCAGGTGAGTTCACTCATTACTCCGCGATGAATACGCTTAATTTACAGGGTGACCACTGGTACAGGGGATTAATTAGCTACTGAGGAAATATACAAGGCACTGGGTGTTGCAAGTCTTTGCAGTGGGTTTGAAAAGGTTTGTTTAAGCACACAGCACAGGTAAAAGAAATACAAAATGCAGCACAAGGTGCACCCTTGCAAATTGCATTTAGATTTGTGGAGACACCACAACGCTGAGTGGCCTTACTTTCAGAGTCAGTTCTCAATTTCACACAAACATATTTGACAGGGTAGTACTAGAAAGTCTATGCAATGATAGTGTGTTCCTTTAGTTTGTTTTCGTAAAGAAGCTGTATTAAAGTTAACTTCAATTAAACTTTTAGATGTTTAATTATAACTGCTCTCTCCTTTCATTTTGAAATCACTTTGGATAGTTGAAAGCACTAAGAGTGGAGAAAACTTTATAAAGTTGACCCACAAAAGACATCATGCCTTTATTTTATAGTGTGCAAGCTTTGAGGTTCAAACAAGAAAATGTTCCTGTCAACTCAAACAATTATTTTGGTTACGATTATAGTCAAATCTCTCATCAACTGATCACTAAAAAGAGACACAATTGTCCCAGGGCACGAGAAAACCATTCTCACAAAGTATCGGCTACTATCGCTGCTTTATGGGAAGTTGACGGCTGTTTAACGGGCTGAGAGTAAAAGACCATAGCATAAAAATAAATCCAGTGCCAAAAGGAAAAAAATGATTTCAAATGAACACACAAATAAAAAAAAGTGAACAACTTTCTAATGGATGTGTCCAGTAATACAAACTAAAATAAATACATAAAATTCCAAACAATGCTTCACTTTGTAATGTGGTCTTTTTATGCTTTAGCTGGGCAAGCTTGATTGTTTAGTATTTTTTTAAAGCCACAGTTTAAAGAAAAGTTCAAATTGATCATACTAGTGGATAGTATGAAGCTCACACACTAAGAGAGCTAAAACTCAACAGTTTGTGTGAACATGAACAATTTACTGGAAGCTAAATACTGATAGTTTAAGTAGAATAGTCTTCACCAGTGGTTCTCAAACTTTCTGGTGTGAAGTAATCCCAAATTGATACACATCAGGCCACCGATAATATAAAAATTATTATAACATTTGTTAATATGACGTCTCAGGGATCCCCCGTCTGATAAGACTTGCTTATTCCATACCGTCTATACTGTAGATTGGCAGATTAACAGTGAAGAGTGTGAAACTAAGAGAATAGTCATTCTTATACATTCTCTTATTGGTTTAACTTTATGCCAATCCAATGGAAAAGACCTCTCAAAGACCCCTGGAGGGCCCCAGACCGCAGGTTGAGAACCACTGGTCTTCCCTGTGCCCCCAAAAGTTTGTTTGCCACTCAATTAGTGGAGACACCCCCTTGATAACACAACAAAGACAGCTGAAGAGCTCATATGGTATATAGTATAACGTGTATATTCTTTAATATGAATAGGTTGTAAAGGGGATTAGTATCTAGTGTGTGTCATGATAGTTACCCTGCTTCGAAGGTAGTCTGCAAGGTTCTTTCTTGTGAAGTTCGCTGCTGCTGATGGACTGAGTTCGTAACCTAAAGAAAACAACAGGGAGGAGAAAAAAAGTCAAAGTTTGAGATGAGCAAATAACAGCTGCCTGCCAATTTGACATCATTGTTAGATATTAAGATAGTTTGTAGTGAAACTGGAGACTTCTGAGGCGACAATCATCTTTAAAAAGGTCCTATGCACCATGTCACTTTAACTTGACATCTGTCACTCTAGCCTTCTGGACTGTCGAGAACAGTATGCCTTTTTTTATCTGCCTGCGTCAAGTGTGATCCTGTGTGGGATACCGTATATGTACTTACATGTTTTGGGGCCCCTGTGTTGTATATGTACTTACGTGTTTTGGGGCCCCTGTGTTGTATATGTACTTACGTGTTTTGGGGCCCCTGTGTTGTATATGTACTTACACCTTCTGTGTCCCTTCTTTCTGACTTTGTTGGTGTCCTGAGCACCCTGAAGCAAATCCCTAGCGACTTGCACCGAGTTGAATGGCAATAAAGTATTGAATCTTGATGATCTTGAATCTTACCGTTCCTCATTTTGTAGAGTTGAACGTTTTTCTGGATGTACTCTGCAAACTGTACTGTGTCTCCTGCTTCTCCGACGCACAGCAGCAAAATCTTCTCACTCAGCTTGAACATTTTGTCATAGTCTGAAAACACAAAGAATTGTATTCATTATCCTTGTGCTCATAAACTGACTGCCAGAGAGAGCAATCAGCATCTACTTTCACTTTCACTGCTTGGTCACCTTGTGCTAACGTGGGTTTGATTTAAACCGTAGCAAGTAGTGAATTAACTCATGAAGCAGTATATACTATTATATACCTACATACTATTATCGGTTATGGGCAGAAAAAACAAAAAATAAAATGTGCAAACAAAGATTTTATCCGCTTAGTCACTTTAACTTCCAGTAGCTTCGTTTAGCTTCGTTAGCACAAGTTACATTTAGTTTAATATGAGGAGTTTAGTTTCCTGTCACATCACTAAAGCCTATACAAGAAACAAAAGCTTTAACCTCTACTTTTTAAATATATATAAACATATAAAAACAGGTCGTTTTTAATGTGAACAAGAACTATGACAACAGGGTCTGTTAGCAGCTGTAGCTAAAACCAACCGGCTCGGTGGCTAACGCTAAGCTAACGCGTACCGTGTTTCATCTGAATGATGCTGCTGGCTGCGACGTTGTCCGCGGCGACCAGGACGAAATCCGGCCCCTGTATCCCGATTAAATACTCCATGGTGCAACAACAGATGCGAGTGGACCGATACGAGCAGGTGGGAGCAGCGGGTTTGAGTTAGCTTCGCCTGTTGTTAGCTTCGTCCCGTGCAGATTACACAGCAGAAAGTTGGAGCTGAGCGGCGCGCGGGTGCGTACGTCACCGGAAAACGGATTTACGTCATTTCTACACGACTCGCGCGGGCGATTTGAGCGGGCGGCTGTTGCCGGGATACCACTCTGCGGGTTGTAACGTCAACTCGCGGGATAATCGGCTGTTTCACCGTTTTATTTTAAACAATAAATTTAAAAAAAGGTGTCGGTATGAACGAAGGGAAGCTTCAAAACACGATGGCGGAGTTTAACGGTCTTAACGGCTCGCAGCGGAGACGGTCCGCGCGTTTGAGTTCTTCTCCGCCGGCTAATGTTACTAGTGACAACAAAATGGCGCCGGGCCCCGTCGCGGTGAAACGCTCCATCACTGTGCGGAAAATAGCGCCCAGAAAAACAGTCGCGCCGTCGGAGCACGACAAGGAGAACACGCCGAGGCGGTCGGCGTCGGAGGGCGTCCAGCAGAAGAAGCCGAAGGTCTCCACGCCGGGTCGTAACCCGGGTCGTGGGGGCTCCTCCTCGGTCAAGAAGAAGGCCGCCATGCCCTCACCGATCCTCCCTTCCCCGCCGCCGCCTCGCCCCCAGGAGCCGGCGGTGGATCCGAAGGACGCGGCGTGGTCGCAGAAGGTGCGGCGGTCCTACAGCCGGCTCAGCGACAAGTCCTTCAACAGCCCCGACTCCAGGGAGACCATGTTCGGCTTTGAGAAGCTGACAACCCCCGAGGTGATCCGGAGAGTCGCCATATCCAAGACGGGTCCGGAGGTTTCTGGATCGCTGTCTGGTCTGAACTCGTTCACGTCTTTGCTTGAGGCGGATGACTGCGGTTCAGGTTTCCCCGAGCAGGACACGAACATCCCCGGTGTGGCCTTGGTGAAGGAGAAGAGGAGGAGGAGGAAGGTCCAGCAGATAGACGCCACCGAGGTGGACGCAATGGCTGCCAAGATGAACGCTGAGTTTGATGAAGCAGAGGTGTTTGAGTTGGTCGTGGAGTAAATATGAAGACTGAAGGAATCTCTTTATAGCATGTTTATTTTATCTCTGACATGCTGACACAAACTCTGTCTCTGGGAGGACAACACTCATCTGTGTGCTTCATACTCTAAACATTCATGTTATTGTATATTTCCAGCTCTGTATATATACATTTTTGAGTCTTTGAGGTTTTATATGTTTGGTTTAAATGCTCTTAATGCAGTTTGATTGGGTTATTATGTGGTGGTGCGATGGTATAATCCCATGTGAGTGTTGTTTTGAGTTCAAAAACCTAAAAAGCATGTTCTTTATTTTGGTTATTATTGAAACATTTATAAAGATTTAGTTTCCTGTGATCATTTTATCTCATTATTTGTCATGTTAACAGACCCAAAGTTGGTTTTTAAACAACATTTGATTGTTTTAATTGTCTCAAACTGGTTGATTGTGCACATAGAAGGAACATATGTGACAGTTTAATACGGATTGTGAAAGCTGTAGTTTGTGTAAACATTTGAGCTTTGATTGAGAATCAGAATTGAGCTTTTCGTCATTCAGAAACAACATAAATGTGGTCTGTAACCATCATAATAATAAACATAATAATAATAATGTTTTACATCCACATTTAACTGACATACAATTTCAAAATAAGGCTTTTTAGGCCACAGTTATTAATGTTCTTGGACTATCTGTCTACATCTTTCCTTCCTTTAAACATAAAAGAAAATGTGTTTTTTTATTTTTGCTTGCTTTGTAAATGTAAATAAATACTCAAGTAATTGATTCACCAGAATTACGAGCAGACAGAGGTTCAGTTCTTTCAGTCAGTGTATTTTACAGAAATCCTTTATTCTGCACACACTGAAGTTTTGTCTGTGTTTATAGTTTATGGACCGCACATGTTACTGATAATGTTAACCTGAACATGGCTTAATAAGGTAGTAGCCAAACACAACAACACATTCCTGAACACAACATTGGTCTCTAGTGATTTATGATGAGGCAGATTGGATTGAGTGAGTGGGCGATCTGTCTGGATTTAATGAGAGTGGTGGACAGGTAAAACGGTTTCCTCTAGAGTCTCTTGAAGGTGTAAGTGGATGTGTTGCATAATTTGCTACTAACAAGGGGAGGAAGGGGGGGGGGATGTTATCAACCCTCATGCTTGCATCTGACTGTGCATACTTCTATGTTAGTGGATACACAGACAGGTGACACATGATTGTAAAAAAAAACAAACATGAAGCCTACATAGTTATGAGATCTAAACATAACTGGGGGAGCACAGCACTCTCCACAACCATGATCAGAACACCAAATGAGGCCAAAATGTTCTAGAAAAGTGGTGTTAATCTTACCTAAAGAGCTAAAGAGACTCTGATATTCTACTTAAGGCGTTAAAAAACATTCAGAGGGGATTCCTTAAGACCAAATCCTCTCAGGTTTGGGGGTCTGTGGTCTAATGTGCATCGACTGCCGGGGTCCTGATGTGTTTCTTAAGATGTTCTAATCCAAAAACATCAATGACTTTATCAATTTCCTGTAAATTAATTTAAGTATTATCAAGGGGACAGTATAGCAACTATAGCTGGATATTAAACTTCAACATTTTTAGTGGATTTCTGATCAAAATGTGTCTGATTTGTACTCTTCTGACTAGTTTTACCACCATTTAGACCAGTGGCTCCGAACCTGGAGGTCAGGACACTTCTTTATAATCATTGCGTTTTATCCCATTACCATATAAAACCTATGACAAGAGGTCAGAATTAAACATAGCAGCTCAGAAAGGTTGGGAACCACTGATTTACACTAATTATTAGGATCATGTTCTGAGGGAAAGTTCTTGTAGAGCTAGTTAGGTTCAGACAACATTTAACATTTGAGAAGTTTTCCTTTGTGAGATGGAAAAAAACGTCTTTCTAGATATTCCACAAAGGAAAACTATTGAAAAATATCGCTTTGGTATCTGTAATAAAACTTTAAATTCACCATCAATAGATGAGATTTATAATTTGATTCTCATTAAACCGCTGCCTTGGTTCAAGATTCATGCTGGTGTTTATCTGTATTAAGTAAATCACTTATCATGATACTGTATGAGACTTTATTTATTCGTATAAGCTGTAAAAAACGCACACAGAACTGCCACACCTTCCACACCAATATAACTGTGTGTTAGGTGGAATTATAATAAATAAGAGATCTTTATTCAAATCTAAAAAAAAAAAAAAAGAGGATCCACAGTGTTGCAGATGATGCTGACAAGTATATCTACACCTGTTATACCAACCTTGGGAAGAAAAAAAAAAACCCTGTCTGAATAAGCTATGAAGTTGGTTATTTACATCTGCTGAGAGCACGTACAACATGCTGATAGTATTTGTGAGTGAGAAAGAGACACATAGAAAGAGATAATGAGTGTGTGTGTGTGTGTGTGTGTGTGTGTGTGTGTGTAGCAGAGAGCGAGTAAATCCACAATTTGCTCACGCATTTTAGGGTGTGCAAAGCGTGCTCTGTTTTCTTCCTCAGGTGCCATTTCATGTTCATATCCCTTCATTTGGCATTTCAGCTCCCTGGGAAAGGAGTTTTTTTTTATTTTAAATTATTATTATTATTTTTTCTGCAGAGCACAACACATGCAGGGTTCTCTCTCTCTCTCTCTCTCTCTCTCTCTCTCTCTCTCTCTCTCTTTTGTATATTTTTAACAAGGTATTCATGTCTGCTTGTCACTATGACTGAAAGTTACAAACAGAGTGAGGCAGGAGGGTGTTTTGTGAGCTGTCACTGCCAGAAACAGTTATTGATTTACAATGCTGCTGCTTGTGCTGGCTCTTTTTCTTTAGAGTCTGTTCATGCTGATTTTTTTGGGGGGGAAGGTTGGATATTTTACACTCATATTCATGTGTTTTTTTTTCTTCTCCTTCTTCTGCTTCCCCTCTCTTTTCTCCCCCCTCCCACCCCCCACACAACCCTCCTCCACCCCTCACATTTCACTCACGGCAGTTGTCGCTGGTTCAGCTTGACTGCTTCGTTAGGGCTCATCATTTGCATTCAGATTAATTATCTAATTACCGACAAATGTCCGGCGGCCACCCCACACTCTGGCTCGTCAGCTCTCAGCCTGTAATTATTTTAATCATTTACTTTCATCTGGAGCGTTCCTGCCATACTCCTGTGTTTAGAGGCCATTCTTAATTACCCTGCCAAGACACTCTTTTCATGAGAGGGAGGGAGGGGAGAGGAGAGAGGAGAGGAGTTGGTTTGAGGGAGAAGAGAGCAATTGGGTGAGGGAACGTATGTGTGTGTGTGTGTGTGTGTGTGTGTGTGTGTGTGAAAGACCAATGGGGACATGATCCAGAGGCTTTGACAGCACAGAGGAAGCTCCCTGCTCTGCTGGATGCTCTTTCCTCTCTCTTCTTTCTCTCTCCCTCTCTCTCTCTCTCTCTCTCCTCTCTACATACACCCACCCACCCCCAACCAACTTCCTCATCTCTCCTCTCTCACCCCCCCAACCCACCCTCCTCCTCCACCTCCTCCCACCCCTCCTCCACGCCCCGCTTCCCCCCGTTATACTTCCTCCCTTTTTCCCTTTATCGCAAGCACACACAGGAATCGCCCGTGGGCTTCAGTGCTCTGACTGCTAATACACTGACACACACTTACACACACACACACACACACACACACACACACACACACACACACACTACATACACACACAGGAACAGGCAGACAAGAGAGTCATGCGCCCTGTTTGTGGCACTCATCAGGATGCACACATCTTTCCACTATCTGCCTGGAAAATCTATACTCCTCTCTCTCTCTCTCCCTCTTTCTCTCTGTGCTCGTCTGTCTGTTTCTGTCTCTTCCTCTGTCTCCCACCATCCCTCCATCAGTCAGACCTGCATGGCTGCACACTTCTCGCGTCTATCTGCCGGCCTCTCCATCCCCTAATCCCTCCTCTTCTTCTTCTTCTTCTTCTTCTTCTTCTTCTTCTTCTCCTCTTATCCCAGTATGTGGACAGGCTCGCGTCAGGCCTGCTGCTCCCCGTCCAGCGATGAGGGACGATGGGTCATCTCTTTCTCCCCCCATGTGACCCGCTCCATAATGATGCTCTCACTCAACCCTTAAGCCACACACAGTCCTCTCCCCCCTCTCTCTCCCCCACCACACCACCCCACCCCACCCTGACTGCTCTTGTTAAGAAAAGTGAGAGTGAGGGAGAATGAGAGAGAGAGAGAGAGAGAGAAGAGATACAAGCTCTGTAATTGGGCTCTTGAATATTTAAGTCACTGGGGATGAAAGTTTAATGAAAAGATGATTATCTACCAGTTTATCACACCACTGTTTCATATTTCATTTTCATATTCTCCTTCCGAGCCGCATTGTCTGTTATGGCAGCTGTGGATACAGAGTTTATGATCCAGTGTGTGTAGGAAAATACTGAGGGCAAGATGTGAGGAAGGGAAATGTTAGGATCATGATACATAGGAGACACTTTAAGGACATTTAAGTGCAATTATATAAGGTTTTGTCTCATTGACCTGCAATTATTTCTGCTAAAAGCAATGATACTCATTTAGATTCTCATTGTTCTTTTAGGCAAACTTGAGTTATAAGCCAGTGCTTGATGGAAAATACTGAGCAAAAAAAAGGTGAGAAGATGCATTCACAAGAAATATTATGTTTATGATAAAGAGGGAAACATTTAAGCAAGATGCGAAAGACAAATTTAGACCAAAAGTGTCTTCATTTCTTTGTTTTTGTTTGTTTGTCATCTATAACTACTGTACACATACATTGTATATGAATTGTCACAAGGCTATTCTTGTTGTCGGGCGAATTGCACATTTAGTCACACAGCTGTCGACTGAGTTATGATCCAGTGACTGTTGCACAATACTGAACAAAAAGAGAAGACGCAAGGAAGATGAATGGTAAGGCCACAGAGGAGACATTTTGTCAAGGGCCAAAAGGTTTATTTAATGTCTCACTTTTTGTGTTATTTAGGTTGAATTGGTCGGTACAATGTTTCATACATATGTACAATGTTTTCCTGAATTCGATTCTTTGCTGGCTTAGTTTACAGTGAGAAAAAAGAAATGTGAAAAGATGCATGGAAGAGAAATGTGAGAGATTAAGTAGATGAGAAAGCAAATTTAGAATCAAGAATGACTTTAATTTCTCACTTTTTTGGGGGGTGGGTTTTAAATGTTGATTTGGACACTAAAGCAATGTCCCTCGCACACACTGTCGCATATATTGTTGTTATGATAGATCCTTGGATACCATTTATGGGAGCTCTGGACTGAGTTATAATCCAGTATGTGTTGTATATGTGTTGTAAATGTCTGTGCAAAAGACGAACAGATCAAACTCCATGTTTAGGAAAGATGCAAAAGAAGGAAAGATGCCAAGAAGATAAATGTTAACCGTCCAGTGTGTAGGATTTAGAAGCATCTAGCAGTATAGTTCCCTTTCCAAGTGCAAAATACGTCCTATCTAGAGCCAGTGTTCGGTTTGTCCATTCTGGGTTACTGTAGAAACATGGCAGTTCAACATGGTGGCCTCCATATAAGGCGACCTGTGGCATCTGTAGATACAAAAAAAGGCACATTTTCTGGTAATAGAAACACAACGATTCTTATTTCCAGGTGTTTATACACTAATGAAAACATAGTTATTCTGCAAATAGATCCTCTTAAATGGACCTTTAAGTTAGATACAGAGTTATACAGAGCAGACATTTTAAAATGTCCGCTGAACAGCAACCATTGATGGCAATTATGA